CCCCCCCCCCCCCCCCCCCCCCTTTCTGATGTCAAGAAATAAACACACACATACACTGTATTCACACACACAGTTACACAATGTCACTCACGATGGTTTGGAATGAGTGGGAGGGCGGAAGCTCTTTTTACTTCTTCCTTCCTCCTTTTCTGAGTGTTTTTCTTCACCCCTTCATGTCTTATTCTTTCCACTGGTCTAAAGCCATCTGATTAAAGCCAGCCACTCCTGACAGGCACCAGCCCCGCTGCACAGGCCGTTAGGAATGTCTGATTTATCCCTCATGTCATAACTCAAGCTGGGCTCTCCATTACCCACTTGCAGATAAGGAATCGGAGCACTTTAATGGTGAAAACTGAGGCCGATAGAAAGATAAGAAAAAGGCAATTTACAGTTCGCCCTGTTCCCTGCTCCTTCAATTGCACAGGGATGTGGGATGTGTGTTTTTGATTTTCTGCATGTTGTTTAAGCAACAAAATGTCTTTGCAAAGAAAAAAAAAAACTATTGTTTTGTTTTATTTTTTGGCGACTGCCTAAATTGAATATGAACCCTGTGACTGATGATTCTTAACGGCCTGAGAGGTAAAATAGTATTTGTTGAGCCACACAGTGGTGGTATTTTTTTCTAACCGTCGTTTATTTGCTGTAGATTGCTCTTGGAGATGCCTGTGCCAGTGGCCAGTTCACTGAATCAGGACAGTGTTGCAGTATGTGTCCTGCTGGCTTCGGATTGAAGGCGGCTTGTTGGAAAGAGGATACCAAGTGCACACCATGCCCACAGGGTAAGCTATTGAAATCTAATGTTACTGCACCAATGTGGAATATGTTTTACCTGCCTTATCATTATCTCTGTCATCTGTTCAAGAGGCTGGAAGATTTAAATGGCACCACGTATCATCACTGCAGCTGATATTTGTGAGAGAAAGACTCCAGACTGACACTGATTTTGTTATCTGTTTCCAGGAACGTTTTCCTCATCTGAAGATCTCGGTCCTTGCCTTCCCTGTGCGAAGTGCCCACTCAGTGTTCCCATGGTGGCCTCTTGCTCTGCCACTCAAAACACACAATGTGAATGTGACAACGGCTTCTTCTTTTTGAGCAACCACGACCTGTGCGCGCCTTGCTCCAAATGCACTCGTAGTGAGGGTGTTATCCGGGAGTGTGGTCCCCAGGGAGACACGCAGTGCCAGATCTGTGGCCCGGGAACATTTTCTGAGGAGCGTATTAGCACCAAACCCTGCCAGACCTGCACCCAGTGCTCCGACAGTGAAGTGGAAATCCGGCACTGCATGCCCAACTCTGACTCACTGTGCATGGGTGAGTTGTAATGAAGAATGAGAAAATACATTGAATTTGTAAATCCAAGTCTGTATGAAAACACACAAAACATCAATAATACGTTGATCCTAAAAACAAACAAGTGTTCTCTGTGTAGCCAAAGCCTGATAGTTCATGCCTTTGTGCCATACACCTCCAATGTTGTCCAAAAACTACACGGGCACCGTAGTTAATTTGAATCAATTCTACAGTCATTGTCCTGCTGCTGTAAATTCTTACCAACGCTCCAAATATGCAGCTGAAAATTGTCTCCAACAAACAATGTTCTCCTGTTTGAGTAATGTTTTCTAAAATGGGCTGTTTGAGTAAATTACTGGACGGACTAAGGCATTGTTGGTTTTGTTTTTTTAATGGAATTTTCCAGTAGAAGTGCCAGGCTTATCCCTTACATGCATCTTATGCATGGGAAAGCAGCAATGGTTAAAGATAAAAAGATAAAAGAATGAGCCAAAGGGAGGGGGACAGGGAGTGGGAGGGTCTCTGAGAATACAAGGACATGTGGTCAACACCTGCATCCACTCCTCATCTGAACTCTCTGAGCTGAGAAACATGAGCAGTGAAAAACGAGCCCACTTAAGTGCTGTAATCCAATTGGTATGAGCTTGACAGGTCTTTAGGTTAACTGCCCCCAAGAACCTGAAGGCCAAGGGAGGCTGCTGACCCTGACAACTAGTCCGCCTCCTCCCGAATGGCTACACTCGCTCTCCAGGAGTAAGGTCGTCTGTACACACTCTGGGTCCATATGTCATGACCCTTTGACCCCCGAGAGGTCAGCACAGTACCGTGTAGTGTTTGATCCTAAAATAGTCAGACCGCAGGAGGGAGAACGAGGCTGAAAACAGGGACAATGAAAGGTTTCAAAACCCCCAGGGGACCAGGATGACTGAGGCTATCATTACTTCAGGCGTACAGGCTTCTATGGAATTATTTCAGGCCCCTAATTTATGCAGCCCAAATGTGTTTCTGATGTGCAGATGCAATGACACTGTCCCTGACATGTCTCTCCCTTTCTCATTCTCAATAGATAAGAAGCTGCACATTCTGTCTCGTCCTCCTCTGGGTGGGTCTGATGCTCCTCGCTGGCCAGGTGTTGAGGAGGGGGAGACCAGTCCGGCCCCGGGAACGGATACGTTTACACCGCAGGATGAGGGAGGCAGCAACAACATTCTGGCCTACGTTTCTGTTCTGGCTGCCGTGGTGCTGGGTCTGATTCTCTATGTGGCTTATAAATGGTGAGTTTTCACTAGGCAATGGGTCCTGATCCTTAAATGGATGTAATGAAAATAACAAGATTGGCCCTGCGATTTAAAAAAGCTCACTCTGTGTAGCTTTACTGACATTTGTTTTTCCGGCTCTGCTCAGCTGGAGATCCTGTAAACAGAAGAGGGCTCTTTCTAAGGCCCGTGCAGCTGAGTTGGGAGCATCTCCGGAGGGAGAAAAGCTCCAAAGTGACAGTGGTGTATTTCTGGACTCTCAAAGCCTACAGGACAACCAGCCCAGCAAAGGTGAGGCAGACACAGCCCTTGTCTAATAAACTTCAAATGACTGGTACTTTCTAATAGAAAGGCTTTGTAGCCTCTTAGAAAAAGGAAAATTCAGTTCCAGACAGAGCACTATTCTTCTCCACTTTCTTTTAAAGGTACCCTGTGGAGTATTTGCCCACTAGCAGGGCTATTGTGCAGTGTGTTTGTGAGTGGGTCACCCATTTGTTTCTTGTATATTATGCAAACCCACAAAAACGTCTATGTATGTGCTTACCTGGTACCAGCTTCAGGCTATCCCAGCACAGAATGGCAGTAATGTACCAAGAAACATAGCAATGTGCCAGTGAAAAGCATAATTTTTATTTCAAAAATTGGCTTTGGAAATGATTTATGAGGAAGTAACTTTGTTAGGCCTCAAAGATACACACCAAGGGTTTTGGAAAGGCACACTTAATCTAAATATAAGTTTGTTTATTTACAAGAAAACTCCACAGGGCACCTTTATTTTCCCGATGTTCCCCACAAGGATAATGACACAGAAGCTTTCTATTCACACCGATGCAATTTAGAATTCTAAAGTATCGTTAGACCTATGCTTTTAATTTGCCATGTCATTTGGAGTTTAATATCCATTAATTATATGATTATTATTATTATTGAAAAGCAGTTTCTATTGTTTTTAAGTACAAGCACAATTGTGTTTTTTTGTTTCCACAGGTACTAAGAGGGACAGCAAACAGGACAACCGTTTGTACATCAACCTACCCCCCCACAGACAGGAAGAGGTGGAGCGCCTGCTGCAGGAGGGAGGGGGCCGGGGGTGGAGGCAGCTGGGCGCAGCGCTGGGCTATGAGCCTGAACAGCTGGACCTGTTTGAGCATGGAGAGGCTCCTGCTCACACACTCCTCTCTAACTGGGCCCAGAAAGAAGGTTCCACTCTGGGACTGCTGTGTTCTGCACTGGCCCGCATTGAGAGGCCCGATGTGGTCACAGCTCTTAACTGCCCCACGCAGGGCGTTTCTTTGGTCTGAAGGCTCCTCAAACACACGTATGACACTAACAGACTCAAGTGAAGAACTTTCATTGAAATGACAAGGAAGGCCCTCTGATATTAACACCTCTGTCACTGTTGGAGGATGTCACTAATGGTTCATGATTGCTTTGTTGGACACTTGTGATTCAGTTTTTTTTACTAAGAGAGCAAAACATATTCTTGTATCACTTTCCTTTGCCCCAGTTTATGTCACCATTTGATTTTACATTGATCCAACTGCATGAAAGAATCTCCTGGGATGTGCCGGTTATCGCTACTGAGCAAATCACCATTTTACCAGCGGCAACGAAAACTCTCAATATACAGTATGTTACGACCTCTTGTTGCCACTACTGAGGGAACAACGTTTTCAGTTCTGGTCAAGCCTTATGCCTTGCTCAATGGACAGTGCAGAAACTTGGTCATGTTGGATTAGAACGACAATGACTGTTGGTATTCGTATTGACAAGAAACAGAATGATGTGTTTACATGTGTTGCACAAGTGTGATTATTCTAAAAACCACTGTTTACATGTTATTTGGACAGAAATCAGATTTATCCTCCACTGCCTCTAAAAATACCAGCCTTCCTCGTGCTATTGTAAACCAATACGGCTCAGATCATAACATTTGTCATTTTTTAATTGCCTTGTTTCATGAACTACAACATCAGCAATCTCTTTGGTTGATTTTTGCCAGAATGAGACGGTCCAACAACACTGCTTTCCGACATGATGTGACTCTCCTCGTTTGGGATCATTTCCATGCAAAGTGCCCGCCTGAAAAGAGAAGCAAACCCAAGAAACCAAACTAAGGGTTATCAATCTTTCCAACGATGCTTTCAGTTGCTAAGAAGACTTTTTTAAATGTGTAGATGGGAACTACTCATTTGATTGTTCAAGTTTTTTTGCCTTGTACTGTTGTTGTTTTTTTCCTTCTTTTTCTGCTGCAGTCACTACGTAGCCTTGGTAGTTATGTACACTGAGGATATATTCTGCACCAGTGATGTTTTAAATCTCATTAGAAGACACAAAAATGAAACATTCTGTGAAATATAAAAACACCAATCTTAGCTCTTCCTAATAACCATCTTTGATTGTAAATATCTTAAATATTGATTGTTTTGATAAGTAATGGCTGTGAAGACTGAATGAAAGGAATAGACAATATATTCTCCTTGCATTTATATTACACAGCTCCATTTTTGTCACCTTGTTTTTTCATATTAGACACACACACAAAAGGAAATCCAAAGACACTGTTAACATCAATGCTGGTGTCCTAAGTTATCTTGCTTTTGTATTTATTTCATCACTATTTTAAGAATAAAACTTGTTTAAAGTCTATGAGAACATCTGCAGTGTGCTAGTTACACTACGTGATGGCCTCAGATGGTTTGATATTTTTTTTATGACAGCCATGTATGGTTTTGTATATATATTTCCTCTCTGTATGCCTCAATGTGTTTTTGTATGAGTTTTATTCATATAATAAATAACTTTGATAAGCCAGTGCTCTTTTGTTGTAACAGAAGCACCCGAGATTATACTTATTTTTTGCTGTAGATGAGTGATTCTCCCCATGCGTACTTGTGAAGTTGCTTGTGGTGTGATTGTAGACTGTAGAGTAACGTTAGCTAGAAAGAAAAAAGACACGTGTCTGAATAGGTCTGCTGGTTAGCAAGCGTGATGGCTGAGTAATAATGATTAAAAAAGCGAAAACTAATGTTTTACTAACTGTTCAAATAGTTACCGTAAAGTATAAACAGTTGACAGAGTTGGATACTGGCTCGATACTGAACTACCTCAAATGAATGGTTAAATGTTATAACTAAAAGTAATGGATAAACATTTCTGATATCTATAACTACAGTTGAAATAATTAGCTTAAACTAATGGGTGGTGAGCTTGCTAAACTAGTGGATACATGGTGATAGTACAAAGTAATGGATAAGTGGTTGAAATACAAGTTAGCCAAAAGTAACAGTTGAAATAGTTCACGTTAGCAAAACACAATGGATAGGCTGAAGGTAAAATAGGTTTAAGTAATGGATGGCTAAACTAGACAGCTAGCCATTAGTTATCGTTAGCTATAAGCAGGATAGCTCAGCTAAAATAAAATTAATATATAGGTTTAAAATAGCTTGCTATAACATCAGTTTGATGCTTAGATAGTTCTACTTTCAGATATCTGTGTCATAACTCCCAAGGGCCCTAAACAATTAGCAGTTTAGCATAAAATCAGGCATTGCTCATGTCATTTGGATATTATATGCCTTTGTGATTAAAGCAACAGAAACATAATTTTTCCACCAAATGGCAACAACCTTTTTTTAATATATATGAAAATGACTGTAGCACAACCACAGTCCTGAAGACATTTCTGTCACTTACAGTAAAATATAAAACCCACTTGATGAATTACACAGTGAGGAAGTTTGGGCATATTTGGTATATACTACCCCTTAACAAGGGATTTAGTGTTTAAGAACATTTCCTATCCAAAACCCTGAGGTAAATCAGTTAGGAGGTATTTGGTAATTTGAGGGTGAAATGAAAATGATAGCTTCATCCAAAATGTTCAGGAGGAAAGTTTCCTCTCTCTCGGAGGCACAATCGGATCCCTGCTCCCCTCTGCTAACTCAAATCTGTTTATGATCTTTTTGCATTCAGTTCTAAGTGGGAGCAGGCATCTTGCATGGCCTAGGGCAGCATTAGATGCCGTCACACACTCCAGACGGGACTGCTTAACTGCGGTCTGGAGCACACAGGCATGGGGCTGCGGAATGTGCATAATGCTGGGAGGGGGGTTGGGACCAAAGAGAGAGGGGAAGCACAGCAGCGCCTCTCTTCACTCGTCACGGGTCTCCATATTTAGAGCACAGTGAACGTCTCTAATGAAGGCAGCCGATCACTTGGATTCCCTTTACTGGGGCCAAACATCTGGCTCAACACTGTGCCTGTGCGCTGTAGTGCCATTCATGCCATGTGCACCCCTTATTAGAGGAGGCAGACAATCTAAAAAAGGATTGGCAGTCAGAAGTTAATCATGTATCAGAGATCTCACTCACATTTCCTCGGATCCGTCTCGAGTCTCTCTAACAGACACAGAACTCAATTCAATTGCACAGCTGGGAAACGGATATCATTTTACAAAATGTTTTATTATCTTTTAAAATGTTTGTACACTCGGTATGACAATGTGCTTCCACAATACTTACAGGGTGAAACTTCCTCTGTACATAGAAAAATAATAATAATAAAACAAAAAAAAGGAAACACTTGAAAATCTCCCCCACCACTGAAATAAAATAGAGGGCTGTGAGTGAGTGGGGTCTTCAGTTTGACAGACTGATGTGGGAGCTGCATCAGGAGGGCTGAGCTGGTGAGGATGAGTGGGTGGGCTCCCTGTGCTCCCCGACCCTACTTTCCTGCATACAGCGTTTGTAATTTTACACATTATTTACACTTTCAATCACGAAATGATAGTCCTCTTACAAAGTGTCTGCTTATTTAAACATTCCCAAATCTATTATTCAATATATTCACATATAAAGCAATATACATCATGTTGAAACTTTGCTTAATGCAATTTAATAGGCTGCAACAAATCGGTGACCTAATGCTAATGAAACTACGTTGACAAACGTAAAAATCTTGGAAATTAATGAGCGAGTTTGTGGAGCAAGGCCGGCCTAAGTGTTGCTTAACTAAGAATAACTGATAAAAAAAAAAAAAGAACCAGAACACACAAGATGTTTAGAAACCGTTAAAACTGCAATGCTACAACCTTCATTTTCAGTAGAATTCCTGTAAGAAGACGAATCCGGGTAGAACAAGATGGGATAGGGGTTGGACTGGAAACAGCACATCAAACATGGCATTTAAACCCTGCACCCGTTATAATACATAAATTCATAAAAGACATACTGATCATCTTGCCAACCTGCTGGTTTATTGGCTGATCCCTAAGTGTGTTGTGAGTAAAAGCTCATCCCAGGGAGGGCATATTACTCAAAGCAGGAGACATGAAAAATGTAAGAATGTCCATCAGGATACCACTCAAACCTCAGCCTACATCATGCATTCATAAAACAACAGAGGCTCCAAAGTCTTGTGGTTAAGAAGGCAGGGTTTGAGGAGCGGAAGCTTGGATCTCCACAGGCCAGTTAAAAGCAGCACCAGATAGAGTCAGTGTCAAGGGGTTGAAGCGTGCACATGAAAAAGGAAGTGGGAGGGGAGAAGCACTGGACTGTTCTGTCATTGATCCATTTTTAACAGTGGAAAGTAACAAAGAGACTCTGATAAATATCATACCGAAGCGAACATTGAGTTATCCTCATTCAGGGCTAGAAGAGTTTAAAAAGTGGAATTGAGGTGATCGTCTCGGGAACATTTAAGAGCCACAAATGATAAACAAATATGCTTAAAATCAAAACAGTCAGTGAACACATTAGTCTCTGTAGCACCCCGCAGTGTCATCCCGTTGAGGCCACTGCACCTGGAGTTTTCGAGTCTCCGTCAGTCTCGAGAAAGAGGGGCTCCTTTGTGATCCACGGGGCCCGGAGAGCTTCTTGGGCAGCAGTGCAATTCTTAGTCAAAAATATGCGTAAGAAACTACTTCAAGGCTCAGGCTGGCCAGTACATACATGAAGGAGTGAATGGAAAGGCAAATCTGTGCTTCTCCTGTGTTAGAGCAGGACAAGTGTAACATCTGAGGCTAGTCCACCTCCGTGTCCTCTTTGGGCCTGTACACGGTGCCAAATCTCTGCATGTACTTCTTGATGTACTCCTTGGTCTTGTGCTTCACGTTCTCGTTACACTCGAGGTCCTCGGGATTATTGCAAGCTTTCAACTCCTTATTCATAACTCCGTGAGTTAGCTAGAGGAACGGTGAGAGGCGAGGAAAGAGTTAGACATGTTTCTTGTAACAAGACTACAGTAAGTTATATAATTACAATGTGTACGAGTTGTGGTAGAGCAGCTGGTTGGTTAATTCTCTTATAGAGACTTTGTTCTTTATAATGGTAGACAATAAAATGCAATCTCTAAATGAGCAAAGCCCAACTCGTCCTTCCGTTTATTGTGCCCGTGTCCTCAGAGTCGTGGTATGTCCGAGTGGCACTGAAACCACTTCCTACATACAGAATCCATGGACACACCAGGAGCCATGGGGAAAAGAAAAGAATGCTGCCCTTTGAAGAAACACTGGTTGAAAAGAGCTTTTAGAAAGGAATGAGTAAAACAAAAGAGAGGAGATAATGGTTTACATTTACAATGTGTTCTCGGTCTCCTCCAGAAGCAAAGTACAAAAACATTTGGCTGGAAAAAGAATTCGTGGGAGTTTTAACAATTTAGTTCTGGTTTGAAGGAAACTTTGAAAACGTTTCCTTTAAAGTTAAACACTGACTGATACTTTCATTGTGCTCCGACTACGTAGAGGCCGAGGAAAGGTTTACCACTTCTCTGCATTAATGGAAGCTCTAACAAGACGCGTAAACACCTTATTGTTTCATTTTACCTTTCTGGCCAGGTGTTTGAAATCTTCTGTGTTGCTGATGTGTCCAAGTTTGCAGTCTGGTTTCCGAAAAGGATTGAGACATTGCACTATGAACTGGGACATCTGAGTAACACACACACGCACACACACACAGGAAAAAGAAACGAGTTACAAAGAGAAG